AATGGATAGAAAACCAATATTATGCTTTCTATAAATTAATTTAAGGTGACGGGTTGTTGTTGCATTGCCAACCCCCCCTAGCATTCCACATAAGGAATGCACTCATCAAAGAAATTCTTGGGTGGAATCTCTGACCAGCAGGTCAGAGATTGGAACTGAGCTTCCTATTACGTCAATTATTGGCTCTGATATCTGGAGTATTTGAGTTTGAGTGATAAACCTCATCCTTTTTAGGTCTTAAGGTATCAACACCAATCTTCCATGGTGCCTCTAAGTTTAAAGTGTCAACCAGAGCATCAAAGGAATTGCGATAGGAATGGTATCCATATTTCTAGTAGGTAACATGTTCTGCGGCGAAACAAAAGCCCCCTTATTAACTGGATGAAAGTTCCCATTTGGAGGAGATCCTGTTTCAGTAAGACTAACTTCATTCCCTGATTCTTTATTGAGACTCCTTTCCCCATTGCAGTTGTTGTTAATCTGATTGTTTTCTTCCATAATTTCCTCCTGTCTAACATCATGGAATTCATATGTTGTGGGGCTGCTGCTTAGATTTTGAGAGTTGGCATGTGTAACCAAATTTTTTCCATCATCATTTTCAACATTCAAATTCTGCTCCTTTTCTCCATTTGCTGGGGTATCCACTCTCAAATTACTTCTATTATCAGTAGAAACTGGGGGATTAATTCCAGAATTTGTCTGCTTTTTCGGGCTTATTGCTCCACTACCATTTTTTCCATTATCATTTTTCAGCATTCAAATTCTTCCCCTTTTCTCCCTGTGCTGGGATATCCACTCTCAGATTACTTCTATTAACAGTAGGCACTGAGGGATTAATTCTAGAATCAGTTTGCTTAGAGTCTGCCCTATTGTTGTGTTGTCTATTAAATCTCTTACATTCAAGCTTCTCATGACCTTGTAGCCTACAATGCACACAATATTTAGGGGATCTCTCATACACCACTTCTTGCCAGAACCGTTTGTCATTATCTGATCCAATCCAGATCACATCCTCCCTTGCAACCGAAATGTCAATTTCAACACACACTCTGGCATAACTAGGTCTTGTAAAGGTAATTGTAGGAAGATATGTATCTAAAAACTTACCAAGAGGTTTCACAATGGCCTGCAGGTAAGAAGGAATGCAAAAATTCAATAGAAGTAGTGGCAGCCTAACCCAAACCGGAATAACTGGAGACTCAACTTTAGCATTGAAATCCCTTGACCATTTGAATAGCCTAAATAGAGAACCTTTTATGGAATGAGAATCTCGCATCCATGCTTGGGAGAAGTTGTCTACATTCTGGAGCTTAATCAGAGCATGGCGTCTGTCAATGAAGCTCACGATAGGAATAGAAGTTAATCCCCATTTGGTGCTGATATGATGTCGAAGAACATCCATTCGAGGGCGAGATTTTGAGAATTTTGTAATGAGTGAAAATTGCAGAGAGAGCTTCATAACTCTGTAATTCCAAAGGAGAAAATATGACAGTGTGTTTCCCTTCTTTTCTTTGTGGATGCCTTAATGAGACAATTACAACCATCACAGGGATAGTAGATAGATCATGGCGAATCAAAGATGAAGAAATTGCTGCTGTGTAAGAAGTTGGGGCAGTAGGTGAGGAGGTATTGGTCCTCAAATATGGAGGTGTGGGGTCTTTATTATGGCCTGAAGGTTCGACCATGGTGGTCAGATAACCCCACCAAGAGAGGCGGCGGCAGTGTGTTTAGGGTTAGCCGGAAAGGGTGAGGGAGATGGTGGTTATATTAGGAAAGCTGTAGAGAGCATAACTAGGTTAATATTTTTAAATTGCATTAGAGATGATTTTTTAGACCTTCACCCTGTTGTTAATTGTGCCTTTAATTTAAGTTAAAAACACGATAGAATTGATTTCCACAATAGAATTATTTTTCATATATTCCTCAATAAGGATGATACTATTAGTCCATACAATTTCAGACTTTCAGTACATGTTTCGTGAAGCTTAAAGTTAAGTAAATAATTTACTCTTTTTATTTCTTAAATTTTATGTAAAAAATTTACTTATCTTAAAGTAACTCTTAAATTATCCATTTTCAATTTTTATCAATAAATGATATTATTTATTTACAAACCTACTTGTTTAATTATAGGCAGCAAAAAATATTTCAACAAACCTCTAAGTTGCAAATACTGATTCCCTATGTGGTAGTTGGAAGATTTTCTTATTTTTTTTAATAAGCCGACCACGTTTGATGACATGCATTATTAAAAACGAAAGAAAAATAGATTTGATGTTTGTGCAAATTTCAATTTGATAAAAACCAAAAGAAAACAAGATTAATTATTTCACTATATAATCGTACCAAAGATGGCTACACTTCCACAATGTAGTCTCCAAGCAAAGATCTACAGTTTATTTAATTAAAGCCA